CGGTATGCGACACACACACACACACACACACACACACACACACACACACACACACACACACACACACACACACAAACACAGATGACCGCTCGGTATGACTATAGCTTATCCCAACAGGTTGTCGGGTATAAGCATAATTTGGTGGGTCCACCTCTGTCCCCAGTATGTCCATAATTTGAGCATTCAGGTAGTTGCATATAACATTTATTTGGCAATACCTACCTTGGTCCACCTCGGTCCTGGGCATGGAAATCATTTGCACAGGCCATTTCCGGGGTATAGATGCAAGATTGGCATTGGACCCAGGTATAAGTGTGACTCCCATCTTTGAAAAAGGGTACAGATGCAATGTACCTAAATACACCTATCAGGAGCCAGACAGATTGAGGGGGTTCCAAAGAGGAACAGGGACGAGAGAGAAAGAAAAGGACAGACGACAGGTGGAGAGGAGGATGGGAAGAGGAGATGCGGAAGAAGATGTGGCCAGCCGGACAGTGTGGTTACGCTACGCTACCCTTCCCTGTGCCACGGGCATAGCCATGGCGGCCAGCTCACATGTAATTATAATCAGAAGAATCTGAACCACAAGGAGGAGGAGGAGGAGGAGGAAGAAGAAGAAGAAGAAGAAGAAGAAGGAGGAGGAGGAGGAGGAGGAGGACGAGGAGGAGGAGGAGGTGCAAGAGAAAGAAGGCAGAAACGGAAGGAGGGAGAGGATCTTGTAGGTGTGCACAGTAACGCACTGGACAACCATAAAGAGGAGGGGGAGAAGTTAAAGATGAGAAAAGTTCAGTTATTAGACATTTTGAGTTTGTCAGCTGGCACTGCCAACAGGTTAACTTGTCAAGCTACGTAGTGATGACGGCCCACTAGCAGACAGCAATGCAAAACGAGATGCAGTCTTGAGCTTTTATGCTATGAGTGGGCTTATAGGTTTGGTTGGGTTTGGTTCGGTTTGGTTGGGTTTGGTTGGGTTTGGTTGGGTTTGGTTGGGTTCGGTTGGGTTTGGTTGGGTTCGGTTGGGTTTGGTTGGGTTGGTTGGGTTTGGTTGGGTTTGGTCGGGTTAGGTCAGGTTTGGTTGGGTTTGGTTGGGCTAAGTTGGGTTCGAATGGGTCTGGTTAAGTTCTACTCCATTTGATTTGTCTGATTTGTTAGTTCCCCTGACCGACATAAGGCAAGCAAAATGTGGATGTCACTGCCTTGCAAAAACGTACCTGGCACAGGCGTGTGATCTTGACAAAAAAAGCCTTGTCTACATCTTGAACAAGTCGCCTTTACGTCTGCTTTATTAGCTGTTACTGAAGGGATCAGCGAGCGATTTGGACTCGGGCCAGGCTTGGGCGGTTTCTCCGAAGAATGCTTCCCTGTTGCACAGCTGGATTTTCCATGAGGTATACAAAGCAGGCAAGACCATACCACACCGAAGAAGTTAGACCAGCAAAGATCTCCACCTAGATCTAGGCAGTGAGTCTTGGACTGCACCACCTTTCCATTTGCGGTAGCTCACTTACAGACACCAGCATGAGATCTTGAAGATGGCACGGCTTCCCTTGCAAAGTGCATAGAAACCTCCAGCGACGAAAAGGTGAAGAGTGCAAGGCTGGCCAGATTGGTATGGTTGACCAGCTAAAAGTGATAAATGTACAGAAAGTGCAAGCCCAGTCAGGTTGGTGTGGTTGAGCACTGGGTGCCCGCACACCATTCTACCTGAAAGGCTGACATTGCACATCGTTAAATAGCGCGGGGGCAAGAGGAAACCAACCTGCACCCAAGAACAAACGGTGAAGGTCAGTAGGCAACCATTCTCAAAGATACACTCAACAAAATGCATCCCAAAACAAAGGCCTGACTGTCCTACCGTGACAACATGCAAGTGCGATGCAAGCGCAACTCTCCCCCATCAGCATAGAATAGAGCATGAACGAACAGAAGGTTCATGCAGCACCAGCACGAGCTCCACCGACCAAATCACTCCAACCCCCCCACAAGAATCCAAAAAACTCAGCCCATCAGTATCTCACCCTTACTTTAAGCCAAAAGAAAAACACTACACAAATCAGGCCTGACACAACACGACCTTACAGTAACACCAGCAGCATCGCTGCTGAAATCCCCACTACAGACCCAGCAGTGGTTAACAGGGTAAACTGGGGTTTTCATTGCTGAAATCAGGTTTCTTTGGCCAAATTTTCACTTCTTGTTTTTTTTTTTTTTCTTGACTGTTGGAATTGTGTCTGCTGATCATTTCTTAATGTTCTGAAGTGCTTTTTTCGTCCATTGGAATTGTCTGTGGTGACCATTTCCGAAAAACGCTGAAAATTCTAAAAAATAATCAAAAAGTCTCTGAATGCAAATTTTCATTCAAGTGCACTTCTGCCTCACCGTTTCACCCTGTTTTTTTTTTGTTTTTGTTTTTTTTTAAGGGGGGGGGGGGGGGGGGGGGGGTGGTTTGTTAATATGGTGTCCACTCTATGGAATGATGCAATTTTTTTTGGGTCTGTTCACCACCACTCTAGAGACCGCGCTTTTCCGTGTGCTCCGAGACAGCATCCCGTGGGGATCACGCCGACATGGAACATCGTCTGCGCCTCCTCGAGAAGATCTCACAGCTAAACAAAAACTCGCATCCACTATGAAAAATGGCTGCCTGAGTATCAATCTGAGCGAAGCAAGACAACAGAAAAGTCTCCATCAAGACCATATGCCAACAGACAAAGTATGATAAACCATTGTGTGTTTTGCCACATGATTCTCAACGCCCCAATGGCAGTTCAGTTGCACATAAACAGATCAATTGTTTTGCTGTTTTTTCCTGTTGCAGGACACAAGTGCAAAGCTTGACCGGCGCTGCAACCCCCTTTGTAACACTGCTCCCCAAGCAAAACAATCACCCTAAGCCTGGCTGAGGTTGTTAACCCCTTTGCAACACTGGAAACATTTCTCCCCAAGCAAAACAATTACCCTCAACATTCTCTCACCGTTTGTCGGTACGGCCCATGGAGATGTATGTATAAGGGTACACGTGGATGCCTATACCTGTATGATTTATCATGCAAGCACATGTAACATAGCTGCGGCGAACCTCGTGCGCGCCAGGCACAACGCACGCTCATGCATGTGCACGCGCGAGGTGCGGCACACCCCCAAAAATAGGTGGTCACTGGTCAGTGGAAAAAAAATGGGGAGGGGCGGAATGCAGTGGCACACCCCGCCCCTCCCCTGAAAAAAATACGCGCCCGCAAGGGAAAAACAAAACAATAACAGGCCATGAAGGGGCACAAGCCCTATTTCAGGTGGGATACAGTCATGATGCCTATTTCAGGTGGGCTGCGAAGTTATCTTTCTTCCGAAGTGACCGTGGGATGCGGGCGTGACGCATTCAATACGATCATTATCCTTTCTAATGTATATATACGAGGCATCACACGCACTAGATACAGTCGGCAGGACGTGACATTTTGTTCTCATGGCCGCTTTTGGACACTGGCACTTTTTCCCTCAAAATAGTGCTGGTTAGATTCTTTGCAAATAATGGAAATGGCCGTTGGATGGAGGGCACGATGCGTTCAATACAAGGTTGTCTTTTCGAACGTTCGAACCATCTTTCAGGCTAGATACAGTCACAGTGAGGTGTTTTGTTCTCACGGGCCTTTCTGAATCAGCAAAGTGACCGTTGGATGAGTGTGTGATGCATTCATCGCGAGCGTTGTCTTTTTGACTCTTTACAAGCCATATAACCGGCTAGATACAGTCATCATCAGGGGCGTTATGTACTCACGGGCCTTTCCAAAATAGGCTTTTTTTCCCCTAAGTTTCCTGATAATAATGGACAGAATCACAGAAGTGGCCGTTGGATGAGGGTGCAAGGATGGAAGCCATCTTCTGGGTCAGATGGTTTCAAAATGAAGGGGCGTTTTCTGTCATGATGGGGTGTTTGCTCTCACGATGGATGTTTTCTTTTCATGACAGGGAGTTTTTTTGTCACGATTGAGTGTTTCCTTTTCAGGGCAGTGGCACACACACACACACACACACACACAC